TCTCAGAATTGCTCGATTTAGGGAGGGATGCAATGTTTTCATAACTCTTAAAATCCTGATCATTTATTAGTAGTTGTTGATCTGTATTCTCTCCTTAATGTAGAAGAAATTATTACTGTAACTTCATGCATATAGTTCACACAAATTTAAATGCGCTGTTTCTTAAAAGTAAGTTTTCCAAGGTTCCCCCCAAAATCAGAAGTAGACTATTGAAGGAGAGGCATCAGGTTGTGGGGATCAGAGCTTTAAAAAAGAAAAAAACCCAACGCATCCCCTTAATAAGGTTGGGCTGCAGTTTCTTTTTGTACCTTGCCATGTACTTGTACAGTGTTTGCAGCTGATGAATTGCAGACTGCTGGTGGGTGTGTTCTGAATCTTGGAGTGGTTTGTTTTGGTGTTGGTTGGTTGTGTTGGTTTTTTTGGTGTTGGGTTTTTTTGGTAACCCATGGGTTAATGTATTCAAACACACATTGTCGGAAAGAATGTTTTCTTTCTGGATTAAAAGATGGTAAGATCTTCCTCTGGTTGATTTAATATTCTTTGTTAGAGGAAAAGATGTTTTAATACAAGGTCTTTCTTCAGATTAGAAGTTTTAACCATTAACATAAACATTAACATAAAGCAGAGCTGTTCAGAAGCTTTTTTTTCCCCTAAGAACTACAGTGTAGTTATGAGTGGATGTTTGTTTCAGTAATTACCAGCTGCTCCTGATTTAAGTAACTGTCCTTTGATGTTCTGCAGTATCTTTGGAAGCGTTTTGGGCAAAGTAAAGAGAAAGCAAAATTAGAAAGCGAGTCCTTAACATTCCCTTGGTAGAAACAAGCTGCTAATAAAATGGCAAGCTCAACCTTTCTGTCTCCTTCCCTTCCATCCACTCTATTAAAATACATGAAAAGAGCTTAAAATCTAGCAAAATCTCAAGCGGAGAAAAATGATTTGAGTTCTAAATATGCCTAAACTTTTAAGTTGTACCATATGTTTTGTGTGTGATCTATTATCAGTACTCATTGAGTAAACGTTAAGCTACATTATTTTGACTGCAAAATTTCCAGGAAGTGGCATTTCCAGATAAGGACTTAATGAAATTTTTTTTTTTTTTTTTTTTTTGATTCCCCCTCCCCATTTCGGTAGATTCAGTGAACTGTGATGTGTGGATCTAGAGAAATTGCAGCAGGTGGACACAGCAAAGAGATCAAAACTGCAGTTTTGGTGTTTGCCATGTAGATAAGGCCTTTTCTTTTTTTTTTTTTCTTTTTTTTTTTATTTTCCTTAATGTGCAAACCCAAAAGAAAGCTTTGACTGGCAACAGGCCTGCATTGATAATGTGTAAATTAGTTCTATTTTAGTGGTTTTTTCCTCTTGGATTGAAATAGAACCAGCGTTGCTAATTCAAAAGCATAGAATCTGTTTTCTTAATACTTGTGTTTTTTATTAAAAGTAGTATTGTAATAGAGGTTTCTGCTTTAATAACAAGCATCTAACCGTCCTCACAGAGTACCTGTAAATATCAGAAGAAAAGAAGTGCAAGAAGGAAGCTGAAAAGAGGCAGAAAAAGACCACTATAGTGTCAGAATAATTCTGAAATGCTTCAGGAAAAAACCAGATGTCTCCAGGCAGATCGTAATAAACAAAAAGTCCTAGCAGTTTTGTCTCCATGTATGGTTTTTTTGTAAAACAAGAACTTTGTGTAGTTACCTGTAGGTATATTTGGTAACTACACCATCCTGAGTAATGATATCTTTGTTGTAGTACAAAGAGCTTTATCAGTTAGATAAGAGCCACAATGGGAATAAAAACGTATTTCCATAAACTTTAGTTATGTAATGGCTGGACCGTAGGCTTTTCATTTACTGAGCCTTCTGGGTAACAGTGCGTGCAGGAGCGCTGTTGGCTCAATGTTATCTTTAAAATTAAAATTATGTAATCAACAAAATGGGCATTAGATTACAATAGCCATTTGCAAAACAATACATAAACACCTTTATATATAAAGCTGCAGGTAAATATATGATCCGCTTTAGGTCAGTAATTAATCTTCTTACAAAACTGCTGTTGAATTTTACTGAAACGGGATCGTCACAGTTTCTGTAAAGAAACGAGAGCTGGTTCCCCAGGTCAGCCTGAACTGCTGGAGGTTGTGCAGTGGCTGTAGCCCAGAAAGGATGGCTCAGCAAAAAGAAGAGGTGGTGAAGGAAAGGATATTGGCCTGTTATCTTCAGAGAACCGAAAGAAGCACGGATAGCCTTGACTCCTAACAGCTCCTACTTTCCCAAAGAATTAATTTGGAAGTAGACAGAGACAAAAATCAAAAGTTTCTCCATTAAACAGAAGCATTTCTTAATTGTATCTCCTTCTGGCAACAATTACTAATACCAAATTAATTCAAGTATTCCTGAGGCCAGTGGCAAAATCTGATTGAATAGATTGTTGAGAAATGAAGGTGGTGCTTCATGTTTTATTTTACTTTTTTATTACATCACTCTTTAGCAGTCCATCCTCTGACTTCATTTGGCTTCCCAAAGCCTTGTCCGATCTCAGCTATTGGTAGCAAGCAAAAGATGTTGGCAGTGAGCCACAAGCATTGAGCATCTTGCACAAACATAAAACCCAAGTCATGGCTAGAGACACAATTTCAAAAATTAAATTGAGCGGATTAAGTAACGTTGCCAGAGCTGCTCTCTGTGTCAGCCAGCTTTCTTACAGGTTCTGCAAGAACCAGCTTGAAGAGTAAGCCCTAAAATATCACCCATAAAGGTGTTCCCTCTTGTGTTGCTGTATGTAGTAAAAGAGTATTATCTAAATGGTTTTGTCTACATGGGGGGAGCAACGGGGGAGTAGAGGGCAGTGGAAAACCAAGTCTATATGCTAGAAACAATTCTGATTATTTTTTCTTTTGGAGTGCATTTTATTAAACCCTAGTATTAGGTTTTACAGAAGTGTGGAGGGAGCAGTCATGGTTCTCTTCTTGAAGGTGAACTGAGGTTGCTCTGGGTTGTGACCTCAAAAGCATCGATTTATTCATACGAGGCACTACAATGGCTTACTCTGATTCAGCTGTGTGTGCATTTGAGTTTTCAGCACTTTATTTTGTTAAAACTCTGTCATTTGCCTTACACTGATGGTAGGTAACTTGGCCTTGAATTTACTTCTGAAGGACTCACTGCGTAACTAGGGATTTCTTCACAATTAAATCTTTAATAAGGTCGTAATTCGTATCTTCAGGGCACTGCATAAATACTCATTTTCATAACCCCCCTGTGGATAGTGAAAGCGAGCGTTGTCCCCATTTTCCTGTTGGTAAAACTGAGAATGAGGCAGAAACACTGATCTAAGGCTGCCGGAGAGCTGAGTGGCTGAGGGTAGGGTTAGAGTTTAGCAAGTCCCTGGTTCTCAGGACATCATTTTAAGCGGCCTCTCTGCAACACACAGTACGACCATGCTTTAGAGAGAGTGCACAGATGTGCTGTGAGGAAGGGAGTTGCTTTCTTTCCAAGTTGTAGAGCATAAAACTAGGCCATAAAACGTGTTGCTTCGCATAGCAAACAGTAACTCTGGGTTTAGAATAGTTTTGTCCGGTGCTCCACCCCTCTGTACGCAATCAGGACGCCTACGATGAAGAGCTTGTCAGTCTCCCTGATAATCTGGTTGTGCAGTAACTAAGAATTCTGCGTGTATCAAAGGTCAGAAGACTTTTTTTTGCTGTTTGCACCAATAGTGCTTGGCTATCTGATGGTGTATATAATCTTCAGGAGGCAGCATAGGTGCGTATATCGCAGCGTCTGAAGGGGGAAGTCATGTCTGCAGGTTGGACAACGCTACTGGTGAACAGCGTAGGACAGAGATTGCAGGCACTGCTTCCTACATGGCTTCCTAAATTAATAGCAGATGCATGCAGATTCCTCAGCATTTTATAGCAGCGAGGAGGAAGGTACACGGGCTGAGCAAGCTCTGAACGAAAAAATTAGGCGCCTGCCCTTACGAGACGCTTGCAGATTGGGTGATTGAAATAAAGGCTTTCGTGAAGTACAGAGTACCAAGTTCGGATCCGCAGCCTGAATTTTTTTCTGCCTCTCTGGAGTAGGATTTTTTTTGTCTCTGATAAGGTTTGGAGAACTTCTGTCACACACAGTCTCTACCCTCAAAGGATAATGTGGATGAAATAATTATATTTATGTCTAAATATATTATTTTTTTTCCCCCCTCAGCTTTTAGAAGATGATTCGTGGCCACGACTGAATGCTTCTGAGCCTATTCCTCCCCTCATGCATAGCAACATGATCTCAGAAAAATACTTAGAGCTGCCAAACGAGATTGCCAAAAGCAATTTACCTTCATCAGGAGCAACCCTGAAGGATTCAGGCCCGCAGGAGGAGAAGTGCAGCAAAGCATTGGGTCTGAGGATACATGAGTCCTACAGCAATGGTTTGTCAGTCAGTCTCTCCCCTTCCAACTCCGCAAATTCAGGCACGGACCAAAAAGGCTTCAAGGTGTCTCCTAATGGCCAAACAAAAGCCCAAGACGCCGAGAGGACACCCACAGCAAACTTTAAAAGGACATTGGAAGAATCCAACTCTGGCCCAGCTATGAAGAAGCCAAGACGCGGCCTGAGTCGAAACATCAGTGTCCAACCAGAAGGCATCTCCGCAACTCCGCAGCGCAAAAACTCAAACAAGCTGACCATGCGACGCAGCCTGCGGGGCCAGAAGAAGCTCAGCAGTTCACTCTTCCACCCACCCAGGAAAGCAGTCTGCGTTTGCTGAAGGGCGTTTGTGTGAGGAAGCGTATTTTGGTCTGATTAGAATTTTAAAGTTGGTGCAGAAGTCTGAAACTCTTCCTGTTTTATCTTTTTTTAAAGTAGAAACTTTTTTTGGTATCAAACAGCTTTATCCCAGCCTTGTACTTGCTTGTATTATAACTGTGAATTTTGTAGATGTGTAGGGTATAAGTCACTGTAAAATGTGTGTAAATTTGTATTCCTTCATATAAATGTAGTCTCTCTTCTTCCTTGTATAATTGTTACAGCGGGGCTAAACCTTGTTTAAAAAAAAAAAAAATAATCCTTTTTGTTAATTTACTAAAGTCATGAATTTGTATACGCTTCTTGTGATGAGAATTTCACAACTTTTTAACTAAAGTAAATTATTAAACAGAATGGAAGATATGTATTTTCGTAGTACTATATGTTCCACCTAAAGTGTGTCTTTTAGAGAATACACTAGGTCTATATTTTGTTTTTAAATTTTAGATTTCTCTACTCAGAAATGAAATGTACGTGGAAGCAGAGATGTTGAGTCTTGCTTTACACAGCTCAATGTCGATTTCTTTATGTTAATTAAAATACTATGCAGTATCTTATTTAGTTGTATTTTTTTGTAACATTGATTGTCAAAGTATTTAGCAACAAAGTGTGTGTTTTAAAACTCCGACTCTCAAAAGCATCCTATAAAGCCATTCCCATCCCGTTACAAATGATGGCATTTTTATCCAGGCATAAATGTATGCCCTACGGAGGCATGAATTTTCTGCTATTCCAATACTGATGGTGCTGCTAATACCTTTCAACATAAGTTCTTAAATTATTTTATGACTATTTTCATTGAGTATGTGGACCATGTGTATGTTCACCTAAATAAAACACGTGAAAATTTGATGGGGGTGCTTTTTTTTTTTTTTTTTTAAATTTCAAGCTTAAGTTTTGTTGAACGCATTCGTATTTATTTTGCATTCATTAAAATCTTAGCTTCTCCCCTTCTTCATTGTGGCTGTGGGGCTGGTGAGGCAAGACATCCTGCATAGTTTTATTACAGAGCTGATCTTAGGACTTTATACTGGATGTTTGTTAAGCTGTAGCACTATATAACCAGCATTTTTTTAATCGGGAAGTCAAAGGCCAGTATTTTATTCTAGGAGCTAGGTTGGTGTTTATAGAATCCAATTCTTTACTGCTGGAACAGTAAAACGTGGGTTGAACTCGGGCCTGCTATCTATATATGTTACCATGGTTACAGAAATGCTAGAGGGCATCGTACGCCTTCTGAAAATGTGTAATTCTCTTTCATCTATCCTGTGAATGCAGCACTGTCTTACACGATGAAAGGAACGGTCTGTCCAAACCGGATCCCTCAAGAATTTATTTCTGGGATGTATGGGATGTAGATATGGGATGTAACTTCCAGTTACCAATAAAGTTTTGCTACAACTGATGTTGAAATTCTGCATCAGATAGGGGGGTGGGAGGGGTACAGAGGCCAACAGCAGCTCCATGTACTCGCCTAGCAACAATCTGCAAGAAACCGAGATAGTAACTGTTGATTTTCAGTTTAACCTCACGACATCCAACCTTTTAAGGATGATTGGTCCCAATAAAGATGCAAGTATAACCCATGAGTTAGAGGAGCATCTGTACTGCTGCTTACAATGTAAATATGCAAAAGAAAAAAAAAAGACATTTTCCCAGGTTTTTTGCTCTATATAGAAGCAAAACAAATTTTCATCTAATTCTACTGCATTCATAAAGGCGTGCCTCGTTCTCCCACATTTCCTCACAGCAGTTCTAGATGTGGCCCCTCCAGCTGGAGGGGCAGGCAGCGGCTTTTTTTCACTTTTAACAAACGAGACCAAACCTGCGTTTTTTCCTGGGGAAGCTGCTGGATGATGGTAAGCACTAAACGTTCAGAGCTCCTCTGCAGTAGACATCAGCTTACCTGCTGATCTAAACCGGCAGCAGCTTACTCTCGCGTATGCTTTGCCCACCTGTTTGACCTCTCTGCAATTAATTACCGAAGCCAAGACAGGGAAGCGTGGGAGCTGACAGCTAAGGTGCGAACACGCGCTCCTGCTCATAAAATCAAGTCCGAGTTACACCAACTTGGTTTTTTCTTGTGAAGGAAAGCTCCAGTATCTGCAAGAGCAGCTCTGCATCATCAAGAGGGTGGAAGTGCACGTCACTGGCATCATCCCATTGCGCTTCCTGAAGGAAAAAAAAAACAAAACAAACCTTGTAGCACTACTGGTTTTCCAGAGGTAAATTCTCCTGTGGGGCAACTTAGAGCGGAGAAGCGGCTTTTTGAATTTTTCTTCGGGAGGAGAGAGCAAAGAACGGTCGCTCTTCGCTGATTACAGAATCACTTTGGTTGGAAAAGCCCTTTGAGATCATCGAGTCCAACCTTTAACCTAACCCTGCCATCCCACCACTAAACCCTGTCCCTCAGCACCTCATCTCTCCTTCTTTTAAATCCCGCCAGGGATGAGGACTCGACCCCCTCCCTGGGCAGCCCATTCCAGAGCCTGACAACCCTTTCTGTGAAGAAGTTTTTCCTAATGTCCAACCCAAACCTGCCCTGGCACAGCTTCAAACCATTCCCCCTCGTCCTATCATCTGTTACCAGGGAAGAAAAAAAAAAAAGCACCTCATCACCCTCCTGCATGTCTTGAGCAACCCAGAGTAGCGCGGAGGGATGCTCCCCGCAGAGGACTCTGTGAATCTAGCCTCTTGTTTCAAATCCAATTGCAAAACTGTATGATAACCCCCCAACGGGCCAGGTTGTTGTTAGCAAAAGGGTCTCCAGGTACTTCTAACACCGATTCACGTACCAGCATGCAGCTGCTAGGTGGGCATACAGCCTGTTGTTTCCCCGTGGACCCCAGCAAGCGTCTCTAAAATCGGTAACGTGTGGGCAGCAGCACAGTTTGCAGCTGCAGGAGCGCACAGCCCGACGGGCAGAGGCTCAGCAGGCGCCCAGGGCTCTCGGGGGCCGTAATAAAAAACTCGGCGCTTTGTGAGGAAGCGCGCGGGGTTAGGCCCGTCAGGAATTGTTTCATTTTTTTTAATACTTAGATTACGGCTTTTTGGTTACAGAAGTCGGGGGAGATGGCCAGAACAGGTCACCCGAAGCCTGACTTTTAGTCGCCCGCTGTCTGGAACAACGAGCCACGGGCCCGCCCCCCCCATGGA